GAGACCAGGAAAAAGTAATTCAAACAAGAGAAATGCCTTGATAATAAACATTTAGAGTGGCTTATCTCGAAGGAGACATTAAAGTCTAGATATATCATTTCCTAAACTGCAGGAAAAAGAATGAAATTCTTCCGGGGGGGGGGGGGGGGGAGCAGTATTTCAAATACTTGGAGGCCTAGTTTGTAATTTCTACTAGCTTAAGGTCCAATACATTAACAGTAGTTGGCTGACCATAAATTCGAAGCCCAAAAATGTAAAATAACTCAGCACTGATGAAAAAGAACTTCAAGAACTTTTTACAAGCCAGCAAAATAGTAGCAACAACAACTTCCCCAAGGTGAGTAAAGACGGTAAAGAACTTTCCTGAAATGTAAAGGGGGGGGAACCCCAAACAAAATCAAACAAGCTACGCACTGCGACGAGCCCGATTAATTTTACTCTCATTTTATCATTATCTTGGAAAACTACCGATTTAATCTGAAGCCTTGAATGCAACGTTTTCCCCCCACCAAGCCGACTGGATGTCAACAGCAAACGGTAGGGGTGTCGCGGAAGGACGCAACAGCATCTTGGTTAAGGAGGGACGAAACTTCGTAAGAGGAAGCACCAGCTCCTTTCTTGACCCCAGCACCGGCCGGCAAAGTTACGCCACAAGCGCCTCTTGCCAAGGCTGGGGCTACCTCCTCCGCTGCCTCCCTGGGTAAGCATTACTACGCAGCACCCGACCCTTCAAACTGCGCCCCGAAGTCCAACTACGCCTTCGCTTTTTCCTCTCTCCAGGACCCATCCCAACTGAAGTTCCAGGAAAAGCGTCAGTCAGCCAGCCCAGATTACGGCCTGTTCCGGACAACAGGTGGGCAGTGGTGCCGACAGGGCTGGGCCTCTCCAAGCCAGGCCCACTCCACTCCTTCCCCGCCAAGGCCCGGGGGCGCCGGACTCTGGGACAGGGAGGGGGAGCTCGCTCCCCTTACCTCCGCCATATTTGCCGTACTGACGGGTCACATCTCCGCAGCGGCCGCAGCTGGGTCACGGCCAGAACCCGGATGTGAGACTCGGCAACGGGACTCCAGCGGCCGCCGCTACCGCCTGTGCTGCTCCCGCCGCTGCTGTCTCGGCGGGAACGCGCAGGAGCCGCCCGAGCGCGCCCACCACACCCCACTCCGCCCCCTTGCGGCGCCCTGACTGGGCTGGGCTGGACTGGACTGGAGGGAAAGGCCTGGGCGCGCGCGGGAGCGGAGATGCGCGCGCACGCGCGCGCCCCTGTAGCTAGCCCTCTCCGGTAGGCGCGCGGAGGGGCGGAGTCAAGGTGGGTGTGGGGGGGGGGAGGTAGGCATCTCACAGGAGCCTCCCCCGCCTACACAATCCAGGATTGTAACTTTGGGAAGGCGCTCTCTGGTGCCCAGCAGCCAAGGAAAGGTCTCCAAAGAGCTGCGTTCAGCTTTTAGATCGCAGGCTAAAAATGTATTTTACATGGAGATCGATTTTTAAGTGCTGCTGCTGAGTGATGCAACCACCTCAAATACTGCGACTGGAAAGCAGTTCAAAGCCCTGAACAAAAATACTCCCTTGATTGTTACTGATAGGAAACAGAATCCCACTTCCCTAACTAAATCTTTATAGAGAGGTTAAAGCAAAGAGATTAAGAAAAGCGAGTGCTTTAAACAAACAGGTAGTGCGCCATTCCCGTTATGTTATTTTATCTGCTTCTCCTTAAACTATTCCTGTGATGGCTGTAGCAACACTGGTTGAATTTTGCAATAGATAAAGTGGTAAAAACCCAAAAAACTGATACGCTGCTGTTTCATGGATATGTGTAATCTACGATTTGACTACATAAAGGAAAAGAACCTGTTCATATGTTTACAATTTGAAAGATTATTTTAACGTACTGTGCTAGAGCTGCCAAATGGTAATTCTAATGACTCCCTGAGCCAATGCTTGCAAAATAAGAATACATGTTTTACTTCCACTAATAGAGCAGATAAAAAGTGGTGCTAAATCTGCATTAGCAGATTTTACTAAACTGAAAGTTTCAAAAGTTCTAGACCCTTTTAAGAAAATAAAACTCAAGGGTCCTTCCTAAATTTTTAAAAATCAACCAGTTAAATGGAAAAATTAATGATTCTCTACTAATAGTGTGGTGCCAATGATACAACATACTGTACATACACAATTTTACTAATGTTAATACAATGCAACATGAGGGAGGGCTGTTTTACTAAATAATGTGTACTTCCTTAAAATGCTAGACTCTAAATCAAGCAGTTTCCTATTTCCAAATTTTCAACATTAACTTCAAATTATGTCCAAAAATAATCTGTGCAGGAATAAATTGCATTTACAGGTTTATGAAGTAGCTGCTAAGTGAAAGGACATTACCTGGTAATTTGACAGGAAAAGAGTCCACAGACAGTCTGTAAACCAATTAAATATAAACATCTGATGCACATTTTCTACTGAAAGAAAAGCAAGGGAAAGAAGAGAAAGGAAAACTTTAGGGCTCCCAAAACTACAAACAAATTTCACCATTAACTGTACTGTACAGGTTTCATTTTTTTTTTTAGAATATTTATATAAAAGTATTTTCTAAGAGTCCTTAGGGAAATATGTTCACATAGATATATCATTTCCGAGCGATTCCGTTGAATTATATAAATAGGCCTTGGAAATGAAATAAAAGAGACCTTTTAAAATGTCAATTCCTTTCCTAGTTTTCAGATTGATACACTAATGGAAATAACTTAAGGAAAAGAACAATGAATGCAAATGGGCCTGATATGGGGAAACATAAAAGAATAAGAGTCCTAAAGGTAAAGTTAGACTTTCTACCATGGGAATGAAAGAATTTCCATTTTTTTTTTTTTTTAAAAAATCAAGCTGATATAGGAAATGTAATTGGGTATCAAAGGGAAAACGTTAAGTATTGTCAAAATATGAGGGAGAAAAATTCATTTTACTACTATTTATCTTGGACTCATCAGGTAAACTATAAAAAAATAATTGTGATAAAAGATCACAGCCCCTTAAACTATTAATGAATTCTGAAATTATTAGGAAAATTGAGGTCTGACATTTGAATGAGCAAATTAGCTTACAGATAAATGACTTTTAAAGTTATTAAAATTATGTTGCAATTTTACTAATTTTAAATGTTAACAACTGGTGAAGAAAGTTTCCTCTAAGTATTTTCACAGTAATGTGGTTTCGGTGATTCCCCCCCCCCCCTTTCCTATTTCAAGTATTCTAAAGATGAAAAGAAATAGTTCAAATACTGTAGGTCATCAGTACATGTGATGGTTTATTGTTGTGTGACCTCTGAACATTTCAGGAGCCTCCTTAAGGAAGTCAAAGTTCTTCTCAAAACTATTGCTTACTCTCTTTGATATCAAATGTGTAAAAATTAATTACTGATTAGTCATAGAATCTTAAGTGTCAGAAATCTTCAGTTAATTCTGTTTAAGTAAGAACTTATAGTCTTTCCCTCATTTTGAGTCTATTGTTAAACCTCCTGAAGAGTTTGCTTCTTTTAAATAAATTGTAACATTTGTAAAAGTCTTCTGCTTTAAACCAAATCTACCTCCTTTTTACTTTCATCTGTACCTTCTACTTCTTTAGCATTTTGGATTAATTCACAGGTGTCTTTTTTTGTTCTTATTCAAACACAACTAGTCAATATTTATAATTGGGTTAACAACAACAACAACAACAAATCTCTAAAGCCTATTTAGTGTTATTATAAGAGCTGAAAACAGGAATGACAGAGCTAAAGACAAAAAAATTCACCATTTACAAATCATTAGTTTATATTACTTATTAATGTGATATCCAAATGTGTAGTCAGAATTGTAGTAAAATTAACTGTTTAAAATGTTTTTAAAATGTGGTTAATGTCAATTTCATGTTAGTTTTGTGGCTAGTTTAAGAAGTCCCAAAGCAAACAATCATTATACAAAGCCTGAATACATGGCTCTTTAGCTTCCATTCCCAACCTAAAGACCTTCTTATTTTCAGGCAAGCTCCTATTATTTTTATCACATGAAAGTACTAAAAAATGCTATTTTATGGGGCAATTATTTTTAACCAATTTACTAAACACAGTGAATTAACATTTTTAAACCACTTTTTCAAGGCTATCCCACATTCTCACACACACACACACACACACACACTATACCTCCAATCACTTTGCAGTTAAAAGCACTGTAACGTCACAATTTATACCTTAATCAATACCTTAAACTAACCAATAAGTAATTTATATAAACCTAAGAACTACAATCTTTATTTACTATCAACATCAGATTCCATTATCATATATAAACATTTGTTATGCAATGCAAAAAAATCTCTCACAATGCACCAAGAAAACACTTGTAGCAATTTAGACTCTTGGACTAATTGAAATCGATGAATACAGTACATTCAGGATCCTAAAGAAACCCCAAATTATCTAACAATTTTGGATGTCGGTAAATCCCTTTGGATTATTTTACTACATTCCAAATATTTAAAGGGAAAACTTACATCGTATCTTCTTCATTTGTGTAGGTAAAGTTAACGGGATGATTACTAGTTTGGTCAAAAATAATACCAAAACCCTTAACTGCTTTTTTTAAATGTCAGTTTAAACAAAGTGAGTTTAGTTTATTAAGCAGAACACATGCTGCAAAGCACATTACCTTTGGAAGTCCCATATCTGTACCATCATTTTTGTTTGATTTGTTACTAATCCCACCCTAAACACTAGGTACAGTTTTGGCTGATTTTTCTTTTCCTTGTTTTTATGGAGAGTATTATCAACTGGACCTACTTTATTAGATCATTGCTAATATTCCTTACACTGATAATACGCTACTACTTATATCTCAGCCAAATTCTGGAAATTATTAGCCCGTAAGCAGTTTTCAAACACTGGAACATACAAGAGTAATACAGTATTTGTATTACTTGAGGGAGTTTGGATTTTTCCCTCCCTTATCTCCAGGTATGCCCCTGCCTACCAGCATCACATCCGTCTTGTCTGCATTGAACCTCAACCAGTTGGTTCTTAACCACGTCCGAAACTCAGCCAGGCACTGGGAGAATCGAGCCACCACACCATCTGGATCAAAGGAAAGAGAGCTTCAGTAGCAACTAGCCAGGAACCACAAGCTCATTAACCCTGTTTTACATATTTAAAAGATGGTCAGGAATTAGGACACGAATCCCACCAAAATTAATCAGCCTCAACTCATGCATTTGTAACCAATGGTAAAGGCCAAAAAAACCCGACCCAATAAATAGGTCACTTTAGTCCACTCGTACCTGAAGAATAGGCTAAGCCGTCTGTGTACCTGGCTGATCTGGTGGTTACATTGCCTTCTCCAGTTTTGGTATTAGGGAACAACTACTATTAGGGCAAAACTACGGCCCAGAGAAGGGTAATGACTCGCCCAAGGTCACACAGCAAGCAAGGACTAGAGATGGGACTCCAGCCCAGAAATCTGTCCACTATAAGCTAGAAAAGCAAGGCCATCCAAGGCGATGAGATAGGAGGTAGTATCTGTCCCAAGGGACTCTCCCCACAGGCTTGGAAGGATCTCTCCAACATAATTAATTCCCTCTTCGAGTCTATCTTCCCTCCCTCACTCCCTCCGAAAAGGGTAGGTTCACCCAAGACCCTGCTCACCACAGGGGATGCAGTGCCGCGGGAACCTCCCAGTTTTCAGACAAGAACTGGGGGGGCGGGGGGAGGTAAAGGGAGGGAAGGCGGAGTCAGAGAGGTGGTCAGTTAGCCACCCCTTCAGGGACCTACATCTGAAATGAGAAAAGGGCGAAAGCAAACCAGGCGAGGCGAACTCACGCCCCAGCGGATCCCCAGCGTGCAAGAACGCCTAGGAATATCCGCCCTGCTGCTGCAGCCGCCAGGGAAAGCAAAGACAGGACTGGGAGGGGGGGAAGGCGGTGATGAGGAGCTGCGCATGCGCCAAAGGCGACCGGCGATGCTCCCGGCAGGGAGGCAAGCAAGGCGCGTCTCCCGCAGCCCCTCCCCGGAAGTTAAGGGTCTTCCGGGCAGCACTCTGAGGTGGGGGAGGGGAAAGAGAGAAAGGAGACTGAGGACACCTCAGGAGCCCCTCATCCCAACCAGGAACTGAAGGGGAGAAATGGTTTGTGGAGGCTGCACTTACAGCCGCTGCCGCCTCTGCCGCCGCCGCCCTCGCTGCTGCCGCCACCGCCTGAAGAAGCCCCATCCATCCGCCTGCAGCCGGGGAGACTCAGAGCCTGGGAGGGGCCTGAGGCCCGGGCTGCCCGCCTCCTTCTTCTAGTCGTCGTCCGGAGCTTCCTCCTCCTCCACCAACCCTCGGCCCTCCCCTCCGCCTCTGCCCTCCTCCTCGGTATCCTGCCGCCAGCCAACCGCGCGGCCGCTTGTTGAGCCAGGCTTCCCCTGTCTCCATGACGCCCGGCAAACATTCGGGTGGCACCGCCTGAGTAGCTAACGTCTCGGTTTGGGACAGGGGTCGCAGCAGCAGTCCGGAAAGGACCTCTCCCAGTCAGTCGCCACAATGCCCATCACTCCGTCAGCCAGCAGCAAGCGGCTGAGCGTCGCGTTGTAAGTTGCGCAACCCTGGACTTGCGAGGGGTTAGCCTGGATTTGGAAAGAAGCTCCTGACCAGCGTGTCCTAGGTCCAGCACCGTCTTTATCGGAGTCCTGCTGTTCTTGCTTTGTGTTTAAAACCACCCTTTCCGTTTTCAAACGTGGTGTCTTCGTGTTATGTCCAGAAGATGCTAAAGCCTTCCATCTTGTGTTGCAAACTCCGTTTTTGTTTTCCTATGCGTCTTTCATATACCATTTTGCCCTAAAATGGAATCCTACTTAACTGCAGCTTTGCTGTAGCTGCCACATCCATGCGATTTTCTGATTTTTACATCACTTTACATGATCCCCTTGTCCTTAGATGCCGTGGGGTTCTTTCCAACTCATAGTGACACTGTGTTCCCCAAAATGAAATAGCCCTGTCCTGCACCTTCACAGTCTCTGCGGTGCTTATTAAGCATCGTTCCAGCCACTGTCAGTCTTATCTAGTCTGCACCTGCAATTACTCTGTTTTTCCCAAGTTCATTGACTCCACCACACTTCCAGGACGTTTGTGTTCTCAAACCTTGAACAGCTTCCTCCTTCCAGCTCATCTCTTCTTTCTTCAGAACTTGTTTTCCATTGTCTCTTAAATACGTTAATTCAACCCACCACTCCATTAAAGCAGTTTTGTGAAGGTCCGCAGTGACTGCCCAGTCAAATGCAATGGCCATTAATCAGTTCTCTTCCTAACTGGTCCAACAACAGCTTTGAGAGTTTATCACTACTTGGGTTTGGAAATACTTCATTTGCTCTCTGGGATATCATTCTTAGTTTCCCCTTTACATTATAACTCTTGCTTTTCACCACACTTTATGATTCTTTCTTACGTCGTCTCAATCTAAAATAACTTTAGCATCATTTCTTACACTTTATTCTTACTAGTCTGTGATGTCTTTAAATATCACTTATATACTGACTTCATCTTACGCACCATCTAGTCAGAACCGACCCCATAGCTAATCCTCTAACGGGTTTTCAGAGGTAGTTCATTTTATGGGAGGAGATGCCTCATCTTTCTCCCACAGAGCAGTTGTTGAATTCGAACTGTTTGACTTCAGTTGGCAGCACAGCGCCTTAGCACTAGGCCACCAGAGAGGTAAGGATTTGCACTGCTAATGCAAAGGCTTGCAGCTGGAATCCACCAGCCACTTAGCAGGAGAAAGATTAACCTTTTTCTCCCTCTGAAAACCCGCTGGAGGGCCAGGTATGGGTCAGTTTCAACCAGATTGTACACAATAAAATAGACTGACGATTCCCAAATCCGTATCCCTAGCCAAGACCTTTCCCAAGAAATAGAACTGCCATAAACAAAACAGTAACAAAAATCAAACTGACATTTTCAGTAAGATTAATTAACAGCTTGAGATGTGGAGGTTAACTGATTGCTTTTTTGTCATTTGGGGGAAAATGTTAATATTTAAGAAGGACAAAAGTGTAAAACGATAGTATAGTGCCAATTGAACTAAGAAAATGCACTGTCATTGCTAACATGTGAAGACCCACTTTTAAGTTAATGATCCGTGACTTAAAGTATGACTGGTTAATGTTGAATGTTTCTCCTCCACCTTGTTTAATTGCAAAGATGCAAACTCAAAGTAAGAAAAATTGGAATTAACCCAAGCTTTGGTTTTGCCACGGGTGGTGGTGGTTATTTGCCATCAGGTCAGAACAGGTTCAGCAGGCTGTTAGAAGAAGTAAATCCCATGGAGGAGATTGTCCCTCATTAACCTTTTGAGCAGCTGGTGAATTCGAACTTCCTTCCTTTGGTTTGGTAGCACAACTCCTTATCCACTAGGCCATCAGAGCTCATAAATTAACTGTGGTTTTAACAATATTTTTGTTTGTTTGTTTTAACAATCTTAAACACAAGAAAGAAGAAATGGCAGGAGTGAGAGAATGGAAATGTAATCAAGGGATTGCAGAGCATAGTAGGACTGAAGGATAGTTGAAATTGGGATGTAAAATTAATATACACAGTCCTTGGAGAGGGACATCATGCTTGAGAGGGTGGAGGGACAGCACAGGAGAGGAAGACCCTCAATGAGATGGATTGATTCAGTCACTGAGGTAATGCAGATAGGCGTGTCAGAGACAGTAAGATTGGCAAGGGATAGAGCAGGGTTTAGGGCTGTTGTATGTAGGGTCACTATGAGTCTCAGGCGACTCGACAGCACATAACAACAGGTTAACTTTACTAAAGATAATGTCAATTTTGTGACAGGTGAAGAGGAGGATAAATTATATAAGAAGAGCTCAAGAAGTTGAGAGATGAGAGTAATAGAAAAATTACTTTTATAGAATCCTTAGATGGTACACATTGTTAAGCCCTAAGCTAACCAAAAGATTGATAGTTTAAACTTGCCTAGACACACCTCAGAAGACAGGTCTAGAGATAAATCTCCAAAAGGACAAAATTTTGAAGATTCTTTAGCAGTTCTACTCTGCAAACATGCTATCTTCATGAGTTAGAGTCTATTTTGACAGCAACTTACAATGACAACAAATTACATGAATTTTTTTAAATAGCAAGAAAATATACTAAGTAATGGAAAGAGGGCCATTGATTCAAGAGATAAAATCTTCAGAGGATAGGAATGACAGACAAAAGGGAAAATGCCAAGGTGAATAATAGTAGTGGTAAAATAAGGGAATTAGTGATAATGGTAAAAGAAGAATACAGATGAGTTGTTGAAAGAAAGAAAGACCAAGAAAGTTCTGATTAGTTGATAGATTAATCAGATTAAATTTGACTAAGTGGATCAAGGGTTGGAGGTTGAAAAGGTAGATAATGGTGTCACAGAAATAAAGTTGAGATGTTACTATAAAGAAAGGGGTTAGTCAACAGTGGCAGATAAAAAGTCTCCCTTGAGTTGGACAGTTTGGAAGGCTAAATTATTCTGAAGGCTAAGTGATTTCTGGTGTCTTAGTGATAAGAAGCTGCGCTGCAACCCCAAGAGCACACAGTTTGAATCCACCAGCTGCTCTGCAGGGGAAGAATGGATATTTTCTTCCCAGGCAATTAATTGCCTCTGAAAACCCGCTGATGGGTCAGTTATTGGTCAGTTCCAACACTATGGTACACAAGAAGTGATTTTAATACCAGTAGTAATTTTAATGACAGTTGTAATTTTAATGTAGTGGGAGAAGAGAATGAAAATGTAGTATATTGTGGAGTAAATAGGAATAAGAAAGTAGGATTGACTAGTATTCTAAGGACTAAATGAAATAGTATAAAGGAAGAACTAGCTAAGGAAAGATTTTCAAGTTGAAGGGGCTGACTGGAGTTCAAGGGGAAAATATAAAAATAAAATTAAATATAGAAGACAGAATTATTGTGGTGAAAAGTCCCTAAAAAGGTGGTAAGAGACTTAATATAATATTAATAGCATTTTTTAGAGTTATAAAGGAAAAAATTATACACTAATTCATGAAATTTTTTAGAAGTGTTCTTAAAAAAGTATGAAATTGTTATTTCTTTGAAGCTGTTATTAATAATCTACATTTTTGTTGATGATTTTTTTTAGAAAACCTAGGTCCTAGGTTTTCTTTTTTTAGATGTGATTATTAAATTTTTTTCCTTAATTTTATTTTTTATTGTGATTTAAACAAAAGTTTAGAGAAAAGTTGGATTTTCATTCATTCATGATTACACATTTTCCTCCCTACCTCCACCAGTTCACTTTTTTTAAAAAAAAATACTCGTTATTGCATAATTTCCTCCATTTCTCCTCCCCTACCCCATTCACCTTGCTATGCACCTCTTAATCTGGACTGTTGTTGTACAAATAATACCTAGTGACATATTCCTTTTAAATAGTTCTTTCTTTTATCTGTTCAATGCAATGACCATTATTTATCCCCTCTTTTCTTAATTACTTCCTAGCCCCCATGTCAGTCTTGTTTTAGAACATTGGTATTATACAGTATTTGTCCTTTTGTGACTGAGATATTTACTCAGTATCATGTCCTCTAGGGTCACCCATGTTGGGTAATATTTTATGAGTTCCTCGTTTTTCAGTGCTGCATAGAATTCCATTGTGTGAATATACCATATTTTTCTATCCGTTCATTTGTTGATGGGCACTTGGGTTGCTTACATCTCTTTGCTATTGTGAATAAGTAGCAATAAACATAGATAGGCATACAACTGTTTGGATGGAAGCTCTAGTTTCTTTAGGGTATATTCCTAGTAGTGGAATTGCTGCTCGATCAAATGGTATTTCTATTTCCAACTTTCTGAGAAAGCACTAGACTGCCTCCCATAGTGATTGTACCACTTTACAGTCCCACCAGCAGTGAATAAGAGTTCCAGTCTCTCCACAAGCTCTCCAGAATTTGTTGTTTGCTGCTCTGTTTAACTTTGCTATTGTTACTAGGGTAAGATGGTATCTCATAGTTGTTTTGATGTACTATGTTTTCTTGATGCAGGAATGTTGTATCACAAACAGATGCCCTTATGAGAAGAACACAATCAAAAGGATATGTTGGTGCACACCAAAGCAGAATGGGTTTCTCAAAAAACATGACTGCTCAATCTGAAGTAAAAGCAGAAAAAATGACTACTCCCTCCACCAAGCCAGCTATACAAGTAACACTATTTTGAATTTTAAGTTTATTTGAAAATGACAAATTGAATGAAATGTCACAAGTAGAAAATAAAGCTGCTTATAAGTGTTCAGTGCTAATATTGAAAAACTAATTTTGTTTGTGATTTTAACATGAAGCTTTTGGATAGATTTGAACTACCAATCTATCAACTAATACATACTTATTAGAATGACTAAAGTAAAGAGTAGAATGACTAAGGTAAAGAGGAACCTTTGGTGTCTTAGTAATAAAGAGTCATGCTGCCAACCCAAAAACAGTTCAAATCTATAAGCTTCTCCATAGAAGAATTGCAGGCAGTCTCCTCCCACATAATCTACAGCCTCTGAAAAGTCACTGGAGGGTCAATTATCAGTCTGTTCCAACAATGAGGGGGAGGGGTTAGGTTAATTAGTATTAAGAAGACCATATAAAAATTTGAAGACTTTATAAGAAGATAAGTACATGAATTCACAACAGATTTATATCTTAAAAGTGAGAATAGTCCTACTTGAACAAATACTATATAAAAGTGAATTCCAATCTTGAGTTCAATATGAAAGGATTCAATGGGCAAAATCTTGAATAATGCAGGAAGTACCAAAAAATGGAAACGAGTCACTGTACCAAAAATTGGTTGACGCTACCATTGCAGAAAAGTGGCCTATTATCAAGAACTAAGGAAAAACTACATGCTGTAGAGAAGACTTTTGCAGAAAGTAAGGCACCAGGAATAGATAGAACACCAATAGAGGTATTTCAGGAAACATGCAACCCTGGATGTGTTCATTCGTTGATGCCAAGAAATTTGGAAGACAGCTCCCTGACCAACTGACTAGAAGAAAGTCATATTTGTTTCCATTCCAAAAAAGCAATACAACAAAAGCTGGAAATTAACTAACAGTATCATGACAATAACAATATTACATGCAAGTGAAATCTTGCTAAAGATTATTAAAAAGTGACTGATCAACAGGGAACTGCGGAAAAGGCAAGCTGTGTTCAGAAGAGGCTGGGGAGTGAGGGATATCATTGCCGATGTTGGATGGATCTTGGCAGAAAACACCAAGAAGATGTTTACTTGTACTTTTTTGACTATGCAAATATATTTGCCTGTGTGAATCATAACAAATTATGTCTAACATTGAGAAGAATGGGAATTCTAGAATACTCAATTGTGTTCATGTGAAACCTAAACACAAACCAAGAAGCAGTTTTCTGAACAGAGCAATGATACTCTGCTTTATCATTACAAAGGTGTGTCTCAGGGTTGTTTTCTTTCTCCCTAACTATTAAATCTGCATGCTGAACAAATCATTCAAGAAGCTGGATTATATGAAGAACAATAAAACATCTGATTTGGGGAAAGACTTACCAACAACTTGTTTTACGCAAGATGACACAATCTTGTTTGAAGAAAGTGAAAAGGACTTGAAACACTTACTGCAGAAGATGTTATTGTTGTTAAGTTCCATTGTAGATGACTCATAATGACCCTATGAATGAAAGACCTAAACACTTGTGTAACTTGTGGTTTTTCCATGTTCATAGAGTTTCTGGAGGCAAGCCATTTCAGAAGTGGATGCCATTCCTGCTTCCATTTGTTTTAATTGGGAAGCTCCACCAAACACTTTCCTCCATGGGTAACTATTATCACATTTGACAGTTCAGTGTCACAGTGTTTAGCATCACAGCAATTACATTCATAAGTGTTTATTCAGTATAAATATATGCACTTTATTATTTAAGACATATGCTTTTTGTTGTTATGTGCTGTGGAGTCACCTGCCAATCTTATTGTGTCTGACACACCTACCGCCATTATCCCAGTCACTGAATCATTTCATCTCATTGAGGGTTTTTCTCTCTTGTGCCATTCCCTCCTCCCTCCCAAGCATGATATCCCTCTCCAAGGACTGGTCCCTCCTTACAACATGTCCAAAGTATGCCAGACAAAGCTTCAGAATCCTTGCCTCCAGAGAGCTTCCTGGTCTCATCCTCTCTAAGACAAACCTGTTTGTTCTAGCAGTCTATGGTATATTTAATACTTCTCAAGCACCACAGCTCAAAGGCATCAATTTTTCTTCTATCATCTCTAATCATTGTCCAGCTTTCTGATGCATAGCATGTAATTGCAAAGACTATGGTCTGGTTCAGGCACACCTTATTCTGTGGACTGGCATCATTGCTCTATAGTATTTTGGATAGGTCTCTGACAACAGACTTCCCCAATGCAATTCATCTTTTAATTTTCTGGCTGCTGGTACCAAGAGTGTACATTGTGGAGCCAAACAAACTAAAGTTGTTAATAATCTCAGTCTCTTCACCATCTATCATGTTGCTGCCAGTCACCCCAGTGATACGAATCTTTGTTTTCTTGATCTTGAGCTTCAATTCATATTGAAAGCTGTAGTCCTTGACCTTCTGCAGCAAGTGCTTCAGGTCTGCTGCCCTGGATGTGCTCACCAAGTTGTGCCAAAAAATTTGGTGGACAATTAGCAGGCCAACTGACTCGAAGAGATCTATGTTTGCTCCCGTTCCAAAGGAAGTGACCCGATAGAAAGCCAAAATTATCGAACAATATCATTGATAGCACATGGAAGCAAGATTGTGCTGAAGATTATTCAAAAATGATTGGAACAGCACATCAACAGAGAACTGCCTGAAGTGCAGGTGGGGTTTAGAAGAGGCCGTGGTACTAGGGATTTTATAGCTAATGTTAGATGGATCTTGGATGAAAACAGGGAGTACCAGAGGAATATTTGCCTGTGTTTCATTGACTATGCAAAGGCATTTGACTGTGTGGATCACAACAAACTGTGGCTGACTCTGAGAAGAATGGGAATCCCAGAACATTTGATTGTGGTTATGTGAAACCTGTACTTGGACCATGAGGCAGTCGTCAGAACAGAGCAAGGAAACACTGCCTGGTTCAAAATTGGAAAGGGTGAACACCAGGAATGTGTCCTATGTCCATACCTTTTCAATCTATATGCAATCTATGAGGAGAAATTTGGCATCAGGATTTGAGGAAGACTCATCAACAACCTATGTTATGAAGATGGCAGAACTTAAGACATATGTTGTTGTTAAGTGCCGTTGAGTTGTAGACAACTCGTAGCAACCCTATGAATGAAAGACCTGAACAATTTTATAACTTTGTTCATTTCTCCAAGTTCATAGAGTTTCCAGAGGCAAGCTCTTTTGGAAGTGGATGGCACTCCTGCTTCCAAGCTTGTTTTAATTGGGGAGCTCCACCGAACACTGCCCACCATGGGTAACCATTATTGCATTTGATGCATATACAACAATTAAGAATATCACCACTTATAGGGAGCTCTAGTGGCAAGAAGCGGTGCCACAATCGTCAAGGCAGGCAGTTCACAGCCACCAGCCGTTCCATGGGAGAATGATGATCAGTCTCTTTTCCATGTGATTCACTGTCTCTTAAAACCTGCTGGAGGGTCAGCTGTGAGTCAACTATGACTCTATGGTATGCAGCAATGACGACCTATTTTTTTTAAAAAAGAAACTACAGATATGCCAACCAATAGTTTAAAAAATGTCATTGAGTCAATACAATTCATAGTGACCTTATATATGCCAAAGTAAAACTGTGCTCTGTAGGATTTTCATTGCCTGGTTTTTCAGAAATAAATAGGTAAAGGACTTAGACTAGAATCTCCAAACTTTTGGTTAGCAGTCAAAAGTATTTTACCATTTGCATTAACCCAGGCACTCCAACAACAATAAATATGTAAATAAAAATGATATAATATTAACACAGTCAAATCAGCCATATTCAATATAGTACAATTTCATTTAATGTTGACAAATCTTGAAAGCATATGTCCTGCCAAAAAAAATAGTAATCAAAGATTAATTATGTGTGGTTTATTTTAGCAGAATTAAAATACAAAAATAATCTATGCCATCATTATTGTCACCTTTGGTGGAAGACTGACTGTTATGATGGGCACTTCTGGATTACTGCTGTTGATGTGTTTCTAAATTTAGATGTTGTGACTGGAGTATATTTAGTTTTTAAAAATACATTAAGCTGCAAATTTGTGATATGTATACTGTTCTACACAAGTGTTTTACTTCAGTATGTATTTTTACAAATTAAACTTGTTAAGGGATATTTACTGACGTTTAGAAAAGAAAAGCAGGAACAACTACCAAAGGCAAGCTAATAATTCCTTATTAATTACTGTTGTTGTCATGTGTAGTCATAACCAACTCAGGTGACCCTCCAGTGGGTTTTCAGAAGTAGTAAATTACTTGGGAGTAGATAGCCCATAGGGCAGACTTCAGAGCTGTTGTACACAGGCTTGCTATGAGTCCCTGACAACTTGATGGCACATACAACAGCAGATAGCCCATATTCCTGCCCCCAGGGGCAGCGGAGCAACAAGTTTCTTCAAACTGCATGCCTTTGGGTGTGCAGTGCAACTCCACCAGAGCCCACTTAATTAGTTACATTGAGAATGAAAAAGTCTGTGATCTAGATGGGACAAAAGTCAGGAAGCAAGTGACTCCTACAGATGATATCAATGCTCTTTTGTGCCATTCTTGTTTTGTGCCATACAGGTGGATTCAAACAGCACGCCTTTGACTGTATCCGTATCACTAGGCTACCAGAATTCCTTAATGTATTATCTTGTTACTGTGTACTATTGAGTCAGAACTGACCTGTAGCTAACCCTCCAGCAGGTTTTCAGAGGAAGTTAATCACAAAGGAGGAGATTTCCCATCCTTCTCCTGTGGAGCAGCTGGTGGATTTGAACTGTGTGCCTTAAGGATTACAGCACACCTTCTTGCCACTAGACCACCAGAGCTCCCTGTACTACCTTAGTGGTGCATTGATTTAAAACATAACTTAAGTATTTGTTAATAAAATGCTAAGTATTTTTGAAAGTTTATAGAGGGAAAACTATGTGTACAAAAATAATATTTTTTAAAAAGTTGGAAGAAAAAAATACAGTTTTTTCCCTAAATACATCTTAGTAAATGTACGTTTTATATATATAAAATGTGACTAAGAGATTGCATGTCTACTTAGGAGACTTTAAGCATAAAATCTGATCAGGTTTTTTTTTATTTATCCTATTTGGGATTATTATTTTCTATCATATTTTGTTCTAGTTAATAAGATATTTTATTCAGAAACATCCTCTTTTTAATGTCACTTTAAATAACTTTTCTGCAGGTGTTTGATATAAATGGAGTTGATGTTACTCCCCAACCTCTTTACCATCCAGATCCCAATACTAGTACAGCAAAACCGAGTAAACTACTAACACCACAAGATGGGTCACTTGGATCAGCCTATGCATCTTCTTATAGCTTTTATCATAATACTTTAAATCCTAGTTTATTTGGACAATTTACCAGGTAAAGTATACTAGTTTATGGTTCTTTTAATAATATTTATTCATGATTTATGAAATAAAATTTTTAGTCACATTTATTTGTTTCCCATTTAAACTGATATATGTAGCTTTTGCACTGCTAACCCAAAGGCAAATGCTTCTCATTGGGGAAAAGTTGAACAATCTCCTGTGTGATTTACAGCTTCTGAAAACTTGCTGGAGCATCAGCTAGGTCAAACAAAAGCAACAGCAACGTATGTAATTTAAGAAGCCCTGGCAACATAGTGAGTTAAGGGTTGAGCTGCAACCCAAAAGGTGAGCTGTTTAAACTCACTAGTCAGATGCTCTGCGGGAGAAAGATGAGGCCATCTACTTGCACCCTCATCTTCATTTACAACTTAAAGCTCCTTAAGGCAGACTGCTCTGTCCTAAAGGGTCACCATAAGTTGGAATCAACATCACTTACCAGCAATTCAGTGAGCTATAACTTAAATTTCATTTGTTGCCAATCTCCCAGGTCTGTATTACCATCTTTCATGCTTTGTGTTACTGACATACTGTAATAGATTTAGAATTCTTCATGTTCTAAGAGTTCTATTAAACAGCACAGGAAGCATCAAAAGTAAATCAGAGGACTTCAGAGTCATTATACCAAAAATAATTGGCGAACAATGAACCAATTCAAGAGGTAGCATATGATCAAGCACCAGTGGTACTGAAGGAAGATCTAGGCTACACTGAAGGCACTGGCAAAAAGTACAGCTCTATAATTTAACAGGTTATTCATTTCGGTTTGGCCCTGTGCTTATGTGGAAACTGTACATGATCAAAGAAGCAGTCGTTTCAACAGAAGAAGGGGATACTGCATGGTTTAAAATCAAGAAAGGTATGTGTCAGGGTTGTATCTATTCACCATACATTTCCACTGTGTATGCTGATCAAATCATCTGAGAAGTTGAACTTTATGAAGAAGAATGTGGTAGCAAGGTAGGAAGAGAACCATTAACAACCTTCATTATAGAGATGACACAACTTTGCTTGCTGAAAGTGAAGAAGATTTGAAACACTGAAGAAGGTCAAAGACATTCAGTATGGATTTACACTTAGATTATACCCCACCATAAAGAAAAGAAAAACTCTCACAATTGGACCAAAAAGCATTACTATGATAAATGGAGAAAAGATCGAAGTTGTCAATAATTTCATGGTTTTTTAACAAAATAAATTGGTTTTACTTAGATTCACAATCAACACCCAAAGCAGCACCAGAAAAGAAGTCAAATGGCATATTGCAGGCGGCAAATTTTACTGTGGAGGATTTCTTTAAAGTGCTAAGGAGCAAGAGTATTACTTAAAAGAGTAAGCCATAGTATTTCCACTTGCTTCATATGTAAAAGGGAGCTCTAATGGTCTACTGGGCAAGTAATTATTTTGCCAACTCAAATGTGGTTGGTTCAAATCTCCCAGCTCCTCCATAGAAGACAGAGGAATTCTTTATTTCTTTTTCATATACGTATGAAAGATGGGTAATGAATAAAGAAGAATTGTTTCCTTTGAATTGTGGCATTGGCACAGACACTTGAATACATCATGGATTACCAAAAGAATAAACAAATCTGTCATGGAATAAGTGCAGCAAATATATTTCTTGGAAGCAAGGATGGTAGAGACAACTAAGCATGCTAAAATAGGAGGGGTCATCCCTGGAGAAGAACATGATACTTAGGAAAGTAGAGAGTCATTGGAAGAGAGGAAGACCTTCAATGAGACTGGAATAGACAGCAGAGAGTGTGAAGTTGGTACAAGATCTGGCAGGTATTTGTTCTGTTTTATCTAGGGTCATTAACGGTCAGAGCTGACTCACAATAGCACATGTCAAATTGCTCCTTAATTGAGACTTTACTCAGTTTTGGACTGCAAAAGTTTTTAGTAGAATTCTTCAATTTCATCATCTTTTGCCTGTAGCGGTTTGTGCAGATATTTGAATAACAATTGTTTTAACAGGTTTTTCTTGTACAAATGTGGATACTATTCTATTACTCACAGCATTATACTTAAAGTTAGGTCTTGAGAATTTTTCCCCCAACTATGAATGCAACACTATTCTTCCTAAAGTTTTCATATGATTCATAGATCATATGATTGTCTTATTCAGAGTGGCCAATGACAGTCCATCTCATCTCACTAAGACCTGGAATGTCAATCTTTATACATCTGATAGCCTATAGTTTTCCTAGATTCATACTTCATACATTCGATGTTCCAATTATTAATGCATGTTTGCAGCTATTTCTCCTCACCTTTGAGTGACTTCCAATTTGGGCTGTACCTGTAATACTGTCGCTACCTATGTTATTCTGTGAGAGCACCACAGAAGCTTGTCCACCATGGGTGAGCCTGCTGACATTTGAAATATGAGTGGCATAGCATGTTGCATCACACTAACCCACAAGTTACCCTAGTACAGAAAACTAACAGGCAAGTTACTATATTAATTTGAACAAACTGTTGCAGACCAAGGGTCCCAAAGAATAGAATAATTTTATAATTAATAATAAAGAGACGAACAGCCAGGAATGAGATAGAGCAGAGAGCGTAAAACAGGGGATCAACAGTTCTCGACTGAAGACCTGGAGCCATGCTTCTCTGAGTATTTATGTAGAATCACAAGGAAGTACAAAACAAAGGATAATGGTGAAATCTTTTACAGATAAGGCCAAGTTCCTTTTTATGTTAATCTCAAGAGGGAGGGATTCATTTGATAAAACTAAGAGCAATGTTGACTCCTAAGGAATGTCCCAGTGTCACAAGGTGACCTCCTAAGGAATGCCCCAGTGTCACAAGGTGACCTTCAGCTTGTATTAAGCCTCTCTCATTTCCCAATACAGCATTTGGTCTACTATTATTAAATTTGATATTCGGCTTCCCTCAACAAACTATAAACAAACAAGCATATGCACACATAAACAATAAGTGGCACCATGAAAATTCCTCCCCCAGCACAACCAACTGATGGATAGATGTTATACCTCTAACAGCAAACCATAAAAATGATCATGCATACAAATATGGTGCAGGAACACCTTGCAGCTGAGGTCTACATCTGGCACGGGTAAGATTGAGCCCTGGCTGACTCTTGGGCCTTCTGGCAGAGGCCTGTGTCTGGAGCAGGAGTGCATCAAGGTTGTATCTTTTCTCCATATCTATTCAATCTGTATGCTGAACAAATCTTTCAAAAAGCTGGACTTTACTAGGAAGGAATGTGGCATTAATATTATAGGAAAATTTACCAACAACCTATGCTATGCAGATTACACAGCCTTGTTTACTAAAAGTGGGGAGGACTTGAAACTATTGCTGCAGAAGATCAAAGACTACTCAGGCTTGCATCTAAACATCAAGAATACAAAACTCCTCACTACTGGGCCAATAGGCAGCATCATAAAATGTTGTCTTTAGGTGCCATAGGGTCCAGTATGACCTATAGTGACCCTATGAATAAGAGATCTGAACCCTGCCCTATCCTGTGTCATCCTCACACCTCCTGTCACCATGCCAGTTCACCTGGTCTAGGGTATTCCTCTCCTTTACCAACTCTTCATCCTTCCTAGCATCATGTCCCTCTCAGGATAACGGAATAGCCAGCCCCTCATAGCAACATGCCTAAAGTATGTGAGGTAAAATCCTCATCATCTTTGCCTCCAAAGAGCACTGTGGAGCACTGTGCACCCTTTCCAAGATGTATGTTTGTTCTTTTGGCCTTCCATGGGCTCTTCAGTGCTCTTCTCCAATACCACAGCTCAAAGGTGTCAATCAATTCCTCTTCTGTTATCTTTATTCATTGTTCAGCTCTCAGATGCATAACAAGTGATTAGAAAGACAATGGCCTGAATCAGATGCACTTCCGTCTTCAAACTAACATGATTACTACTCCATAATTTGGAGAGGTCCCTAACTGCAGATTTTCCCAGTGCAGTGCATCTCCTTATTTGCTGACTGCTAATGCTAAGGGTATTAATTGTGGATCCAAAATGAGGTTGTTGAAAATTTCAGTCTCTTCCCCATTCCATCATAATGTTGCCTATTGGCCCACTGGTAAGAATCTTTGTTTTCTTGACATGGAGAGGCAGTCCATACCGAAGGCTGCATTCCTTCATCTTCTGCATCAAGTTCTTTAGTCCTTCTCACTTTGCAAGTTTATGTCATCTGTATAAGGCAGGGTATTAATGAGTCTGCCTTTGAACCTGATGCCACATTCCTCTTCGTAGAGTCCAGCTTCTAGAATAATTTGCACAACATACAGATTCAATAGATATATAGAGAGAATATAACCCTGATGCTCTCCCTTCCTAAGTTTAAACCATGCAGTGTTCCCTTGCTCTGTTCTTGCAACAGGTTCCTGATCTAAGTATAGGTTTCACATGAGCACAATTAAGAGCTCTGGGATTCCCATTTTCTTTTCACTGTTAGCCATAACTTCTTATAATCCACATAGTCAATGCTATTGCATACTCAATAAAGCATAAATATACATTCTTCTGGTTTTCTTTACTTTCAGCCAAGAACCATCTGACATCAGCAATGATATCCCTGGTGTCATGATATCTCTTCTAAATCCTGCTTGAACTTCTGGCAGTTCCCTATCTATGTACTTATAGATAGTTCCCTGTCTATGAATCTATGAAGCTCAATATCTGCAGTCAAAAAAACCAGGCCTCAGGTAGACTGTGGAACAGACCATAAGTTACTCATGTGCAAGTTCAAATTGAGGTGAAAGAAAATTTAAATCAATGAGAACCAAGATAGGATTTTATAGCTAATGCATCTGAATTTCAAGATCATGTTAAGTGTAAGTTTGAAGCATTGGACATAACAATCAAAGACCAGCGTCATGATGTGGTTGTTGATTGCCTTCGAGTCAAGCACGACTCATAGTGACCCTATGAACAAAAGGCTTGAAGCCCCTCTACAACTATCAACATTTATCAAAGTTCATAGAATTTCCAGAGACATGTTATTTAGGAAGTGGATGCCATTCCTGCTTCCAAACCTGTCATAGTTTGTTATTGCTTTTATATGCCATTGAATTGCCTGTGATAGGTAGTGACCCTATGTAAAGCAGTTCTGAACCCTTCCCTGTCCTGAGCCAGCCTCACTAATTATGACACACCAACCTCATTGCCCCAGAGCTTGTGGTAACCCTGGTGTTGGGCTTGTTAGGAGGGCTTATACTTTGGAAATGGACATTATGCTTGGAAACGTAGAGGGCCAACAAAGGAAAAAAAGACCCTCAATGAAATGTATTAACACAGTGACTAAAACAATGGGCTCAAGTATATGAGAGATGATGAGAATGGCACAAGATAGGAGAGCACTCAGATCTGTTCTTCATAGGATTGCTATGAGTCACTCTTGACTCAAAAGCACCTAACAACAATAGAGACTTTTCTGACGTTTTCTAAAAAAGCCCAAAATTAGTTCTTTATACACCTTACTGTTTATAACTACAAATTCCAGTTAAATATATTTTCAAAGTTATTTTTTATACAGCAATCTTTAAGAAAGTATAACTTTCCTTTTCTGTGCTCTCATTCTATCATGGAAATTCCTATTCTTTTAGAGTGACTGCTCTCTTGTTTTATAATAAATTGGAAAAATTACATGCTTCTCTGGAGTCTTCCTCTGTATTTACATATATAAGTTATGGGAGCACTCTACAAAATAAAGAATCTTCCAGTAAATAAGTCATGCATACCCTTTTGTGAAAATACTTCATATTCTCTCTCATTGCCACTAATATTGGTAGCTCATAGCTTACTCTCAAGCAAACGGTAAACTGCACAGGAAAGAAGATTGCTCATCTTTCTTCTTCAAAAGTGGATTCAAACCTCAAAAAAAGCTCCACTTTTGGGCTAGCAGTGCAGCTCCTTACAGACTGTATCATTAGAGCTCCACTGGAAGAAGAAAAGAAAGACAGAAATATGCAATATTTTGGACTAATGTTTAATTCATATGTTTAAGAAAATTATTTTTAGTCTACTTAAAATTTTAATCTCTTGGATTGTTCATAAATTTGTTGATCTTTTTGAGAAAAACTTTCTAAAAATCTGATAAATGCAATTTAAAGTATGAGCAGAAACTAGATAAAAAGATGAAAGGAAGAAGGTTCCAGATTTGTTCCTGTAGTACTAGAAGAAAAACTTTAAAAGTCTGAAGAACTTAAAAAAAAAAAAGGTAGTGTCACCAGAAGCAAAGATCAAGGCGAAGAATAACATAGAGGATGGCAGGTGAAATATATTTTTAATTTCATCACAATATTTTATATTTTTCTGTAAATGTATTAGGAACCCATTGAAATACCTTAAGCATAGATTTTGTATATTTTAGCTCTAAAATGTATTTTAAAATGGCTTAAAGAATATGAAAAACTAACTTTTTTTTTCTATAATTATATTTTATTAATTTTCATAAACATTTACAGATATTTTGGGCTTCCACTCATTCATTGTTGCACTATTCTCTCTACCCTCCTCCCAGTTTGTTCTTGTCCAAATGCCACAGTGCTTGTCAAAGCCAGTTCTGATTAATCTTCTTTGTCAGTGTATCCTTTGCCATTCCCTATCACTCCTCCCTGAGAGAGACTTCACCCTGAGTCATAAGGAAAAGGGGACGGCGTATTCTCTTAGCTACTTCCTGCTGAAAAGGGACGCTGTGGGTTTCAGGGTGAAGATCTTCTCTCACTACTCTAAAGGGCCCCTTTGGCAGTAGGAAACACATAGACTATTATGGAGATTGATTTTGGAATTCAGATGCACTCTTATTGATTGTGCTTGGCCGTACATGTACATATCCTTCAAGATGTATCATGGGGGTGTTGCAACCTAGAAGACACAAATTTGACTAACAAGTTATAAGTACATGAGTCCAAAAATTATGGAAATGAAAAACTAACTCTTTAGAAAACATGTTAGTTATTGTAACATATTATCTGACAGTAATATTTGTTGCTGTAGTATATTTTGTTTCTATGTCAGAATGCTTTTTAATTTGTATTTACCTATGAGGACATCTAAATAAATGAGTAATGTTATTCATTATTAAAGGTCAGCTGTGGGAAGCAGTACTATTTCTAAGTCAAGCATATCAACAATCGAATCAATAGCAGAAGATCTGGATGAACCATCCTATAAAAGAGAGAGATTGTCTAGCTTTACAGGTAATGAAAATACACATTTATTTCGGTAACAGTCCAATATCTATTTAGCAAAAGTGTATTTATGTCAGGCACATGAGATCAAAGAATTATGGTAATTATTTAAAATTACTGGCCTACTGAATAGATGCATGGACTTTAGAGTAACATCTATATATTTTTTAAAGTTCTCAAAAATAACTCTTGGTTTGTACAACCAACCTCAGGAACTACTATCTTCTTATGTGCTGTTAGGTCAGAAATGACTCAAAGCTCACCCTCCAATGCGTTTTCAGAGGTTGTAAATTGCATGGTATAAGATTGTTGATTTTCCTTCCTCAGAGCAGCTGGTGGTTTGAGAAGTCTGCTTTTAGATTGGCAGCACAACTCCTTACTCCTAAGCCACCAGAGAAACCATACGTTCTGCTCTAAAAGAGTTCAATTTTCAACTAGGGATACAGAAAATTCAGATACAGTGTGACCAATTATCATGATGAGAAATATGTATGGAGAAAAGAGTGATTAACATTTCTGAACTGAAAAAGAAAAAAGATGACACAAAAAACATTATTAACTTAAATTAGGTGTTTATAAAATCAATAGGAATTTGGAAAGGTTATGGAATCCCACTCCAGTCTTAGGGTAAAACTTGAAGTAAAGCAAATGATTATGAAAGTGAAGACACAAGAACAAGGAAATAATGGATATTCAAAAGTTCTGTAAATAACTCATTTATTCTACTTTATATTGGTTTGCATATAAAATCCATGCACATTGTTTATCATTCATGTCCATTGTGTTTCACACATACCTACATTCATATTGTGTTTCAAATGATCACTTATGTACATTGTGTTTTATGAAATTAATTAATCTATGCCTACTGTTAGCATAGAGAGAGAGAGAGAGCAGTTGGCCTAGCGGACAGAAAGTCATGCTCCCAAGCCGAAGGTGGGTGACTCTACTCCGCGGCCCTCAGGCCTGCCTTTAATTGTTTTTGGTGAAACATTCTTCTAGGTCGTGTAACCCTGGTATGTCCACTTGCTGTTCAGAGGTAACTCGTGGTTGCTGTGAAGCTGAACACTTTGACACTAAGGAGTCAAATGTGATAACGGTTACCCATGGTGCACAGTGTTTGGTGAAGGTCCCCAATTAAAACAAGCTTGGAAGCAGGAGAGGAATCCACTTCCATAATAGCTTGCCTCTGGAAACCCTATGAACCTGGATAAAGGACGAAAGTTATACAGGTGTCCAGAACTTTGGTTCATAGGATTGCTGTGAGTTGCCTGCAACTCGACGGCACTTAACAACAACAACATGCCTACTGTTACCCTGTCTTCTCAGGTCCCCTTGGATCTTTCCTAATTCTTTCACCAGCACCCCCAAACTCAGTTATCCTAGTGATTTCTCCCATGCCACCCCTTTCCTCTCCTTCCTTCCCCTATTGGACTTTTATATACGTCTTACTAATTATCCTTTTATTTTTACAATAATGGTCTTATGCAGTGTTTGTCCTCATGAGACTGAGTTAGTTCACTCAGCATAATGCTCTTTTTATTATTATTATTTTTGTGTGAGTGTACCGTCAAATCAAATCTGACTGGTACAGGAGGAGATTGTCCCTCCTTTCCCGGCAGAGCATCTGGTGGATTCGAACCATGCGCCTCTGGGATTGTAGTTGCAGCTCCTTGCCACTAGGCCACCAGAGCTCCCCGCATAATGCTTTTTAGACTCTCCCTTGTTATATTTTGCAAAAGTGTTGCTCCTTAATGCTGCATTCTACTGTGTGAATGTACACAATTTCTCAATCCATTTGTTTGTTGATGGGCATTTTGCCTGCTTCCATTTTCTTATTGTGAATAATGCTGCTATGAACAGAGGTATTCATATCACCATTCTTGTCTTATTTCTGATTTCCCTGGTGTATATTGCTAATTGTGCAATAGCTGGCTCATATGGGATTTCTGCATTCAGCTTTTTTAGGAAATACTGAAGTGTCTTCTAGAGTTGTACCATTTTACAATCCCACCAGCAGTGCATGAGAGTTCCAATTCTATACAGACTCTACAACATTTATTAGTTGCTGCCCTGTTAAACATTGCAACAACTATTGGCGGTAAGATGTTTCTTCTTAAGGTTTTGATTTGCATCACTCTTCTTACCAGTGATTTTGAGGATTTCTCCATGTGTCTGTTAGCCATCTGAATGTCTTCCTTTGTGAAAAGTTTTTCCATGTCTTTTTCCCGTTTTGTGATTGTCAGTCTTTTCTTTGTGGAAGCTCTGTGGTATTCTGTAAAGTTTTGTTATGAGAACCTTGTCTCATTGTCATTGCCAAATGTTTTTCCAGGTCAATAAGGTTGGTTTGTTGTTTTTTTATAAAACCTATTGGAAGATGGAAGGAGTATACAGAGTCACTGTACCAAAAGGAATTGGTGGACACAGAAGAATTTCATGAAACTACATATGAACAAGAGCTTGTGGTCATGAAGGTAGCAATTCAAGCTGTTCTGAAAGACTTGGCTCCAGGGAAAACAAGGCTCCAGGAGTTGATGGCATAGCAATTGGCGTATTTTAACAAATATATCAAAGATGCTGCCCTGGATGTGCTCAATAAATCTGGGAAACAACCATCTGGCCAACTGATTGGAAGAGATCTAGATTTGTTCCCATTCGAAAGAAAGGTGACCTGATAGAAAGTGGAAATTATCGAACAGTTTCATTAATATCATATACAAGCATGATTCTGCTAAAGATTATCCAAAAACAACTTAAACAGTACATCAACAGAGAACTGCTAGATGTGCATGCTGGGTTTAGAAAAGGCTATGGTACTAGGGATATTATAGCTAATGTAAGATGGATCTTAGTTGAAAGCAGAGAATACCAGAGGAATGTGTATTTCATTGACTATGTATAAGCATTTGACTGTGTCAATTACAACAAACTGTGGCTGACTCTGAGAAAAATGGGAATCCTAGAACATCTGATTGTACTTATGTGAAACCTATACTTGGACCAAGAGGTAGTCATCAGAACACAGCGAGGAAACCCTACATGATTCAAAATAGGGATGGACATATGCCAGGGATATGTCCTATCTCCATACCTTTTCAATCTATATGCAGAACAGATTATCCGGGAGGCTGGGCTCTATGAGGAGTGTGCCATCAGGATTGGAGGAAGACTCACCAACCTGTGTTATGAAGATGACACAACCCTGCTTGCTGAAACTGAGGAGGACCTGAAGTGCTTGCTGTGGAAGGTCAGGGACTGCAGTCTTCAGTATGGATTGAGACTCAATATCAAGAAAACAAAGAATTCTCACCATTGGGCCAATTGGCAGGATTAAGATAGATGGTGAAGAGATTGAGATTGTTAACAGCTTTAGTTTGCTTGGCTCCACAATCAACACACTTGATACCAGCAGCCAGGAAATCAGAAGATGAATTGCATTAGGAAAGTCTGCTGTCAGAGACCACTCCAAAGCACTGAAGAGCAACCATGTCAATCTTGAGACTAAAGTGCACCTGATTCAGGCTATGGTCATCATAATAACTTGCTATGCATCAGAAAACTGGACAATGACAATGGTTGATGGAAACAAAAGCTATGCCTTTGAGCTGTGGTGCTGGAGAAGAATATTGACTATACCATGGACTGTCAAAACAGACAGGTTTGTCCTAGAGAGGGTGCAACCAGGCTGCTCCTTGGAGGCAAGGATTCTGAACCTTCGTTTGACATACTTTGGGCATGTTGCAAGGAGGAACCAGTCCTTGGAGAGGGATGTCATGCTTGGGAGGGTGGAGAGATGGTGCAAGAGAAGATCCTCCATGAAATGAACTGATTCAGTGACTGGGGTAATGAGGGTAGGTGTGTCAGAGACAATAAGTTGGGCACAAAATAGAGCAGGTTTCTGGGCTTTTTTTCACAGGGTCTCTATGAGTTGTAAGCGACTCAACGGCACACACCACCAACAACAACATTGGAAAAAAGTTTTTGAAGCACATAGAAAATTTTTAGAAGGTCCTGTTTGTCAATTTTGTCCTATCCTCGTTGTGAACTTCTGGCTATATTTGCAAGCCTATTTATGTCATAGGTTAAACCTTCTAAGTTTGGTCCCACTTTGTCTCTTATGATCTTCATAGTTTTGAACTTTATCCCTAGGTCTCTGATCCACTTTGAGTGGACTTTTTTTAAAAAGAAATACCTATTTTAAAAAATTTTAATTTACTATTTTTGTGTACTGTCAAATTGGATCTGAATGGTACAGGAGGAAATTGTACCTTCTCCAGCAGAGCATCCGGTGGATGAAATAACTATTTTTAAAAATAATATTTTTTCCTTATTGCACTGTTTCTTCCCTCCTCTCATCTCCCTCTCCTCCAGCCCGCCCTGTAATGTACTTAAACATTAGCTTAAACTTTCTCACATTAAATGATGTTAAGTAGGCAGGTAAGTCAATTTTATATTTTTAATTTATTTTTATTTTAAATTGGTTTTAATGAAAGTTTACAGAGACTTTGGATTTCCATTCATTTACTGTTGCACTTTTTCTCCCTGCCCACCCCTCCCCCTTTCACTTTTCTTTCTGAAAGGAAAAAAAAATCACACAATTGAATACTACGCTGCATTGAAAAACAAGGAACTCATGCGATATTATTCAAAATGGGTGACACTGGAGGACATTATGCTGAGTGAAATATCTCAGTCACAAAAGGACAAGTGCAGGACTGACATCAGGGTTGGAGGAAGACTGAGAAAGATAGGTTAAATAATGTATATTGCATTGAAACGGATGAGGGAGAAAACTGTTTAAAAGGGATATGTGATTAGGTATTATTGTCATGACAGGAGTCTGGAACAAAGGCTGCATAGTGGAGTGGACCTGCGGGGAGGAATTGTAAAACAATGAAAGAATTTTTCTTTTACTTTTCAAAGAGAAGAGTTTACGGGGAGTTTACAGGGAGGTGGGGGGAAGGCCAGTAAAAAAGAGCAACAATGAATGAATGGAAAATCAAAGTCTCTGTAAATTTTCATTGAAATTAATAAGTGTTGTTTGTTGTTATATGCCATTGAGTCGCGAATCATAGCGACCCTATGTACAAGAGCTCTAAATGCTGTTCTATCGTGTGCCAACCTAGCCATCTCAAATGCACTTATTCCCACCACTCCAGTCACAGAATCAATCCATCTCATTGAAGGTCTTCCTCTCCTTTGCCACCCCTCCACTCTGCCAAACGTGATGTCCCTCTCCAAGGACCAGTCCCTCCTTGCAACATGCCCAAAGTATGTCAGACTAAGCTTAAGAATCCTTGACTCCAAGGAGCATTCCAGCTTCACCCTCTCCTGGACAAACCTGTTTGTTCTCTTAGCAGTCCATGGCACATTCAATACTCTTCTCCAGCACCACAGCTCAAAGGCATCAATTCTCTTTTTATCAACCCTATTCACTGTCCAACTCTCTGATGCATAGCATGTAATTGCAAAGACTATAGCCTGGATCAAGTGCACATTAGGCTCCAGCCTGACGTCGTTGCTCTTTAGTACTCTTGAGAGATCCCTCACAGCTGACTTTCCCAATGCAATTCATCTCTTGATTTCCTGGCTGCTGTTACCAAGAGTGTGGAGCCAAGCAAACTAAAACTGTTAACTATCTCAAACTCTTCACCATCCATACTGATGCTGCCAATTGGCCCAGTGGTGAGAATCTTTGTTTTCTTGATGAGCTTCAATCCATATAGGAGGCTGCAGACCTTGACCTTCTGCAGCAAGAGCTTCAGTTCCTCCTCAGTTTCAGCAACCAGGGTTGTGTTATCTGCATAACACAGATTGTTGATCACTCTTCCACCAATCCTGATGTCATATTCCTCTTCATACAGCCCAGCGTCTCAGGTGATCTGTTCTGCATACAGATTGAAAAGGTATGGAGACAGAATACATCCCTGCCGGACCCTCTTCTTGATTTTGAACCATGTAGTAGTGTCTCCCTGCTCTGTTCTGACGACTGCCTCTTGGTCCAAGTATAGGTTTCGCATTAGCACAATCAAACGTTCTGGGATTCCCATTCTTTTCAGAGTCAGCCACAGCTTGTTGTGATCCATACAGTCAAAAGCCTTTGCATAGTCGATGAAGCACAGATAGACATTCTTCTGATATTCTTTGCTTTCTGCCAAGATCCATCTAGCATTAGCTATAATATTCCTAGTCCACGACCTCTCCCAAAAAATTTAAAAATTATTTCATTGTTATTCAGTCCCTCCCAAGTCTACTCTACTATGCTACCTTCCTTCTGAACTCCTGTCATAACAATAATACCTAATCATATATCCCTTTTAACAGTTCTCTTCCTCATCTGTTTCAATGCAGTATATCATATTTATCCCATCTTACTCAGTTTTCCCACAAACCCTATGTCAATCCTCTTTTATAACAGTGGCATTATGTCGTATTTATCTTTTTGTGACAGAGATATTTCACTCAGCATAATGGCCTCAATTTTTTGTAATATTTCATGAGTTCCTTATTTTTTATATTGTTTAACTGTTATATCAGATTCCGAATTGGAAGTTTCTTTTTTCTTGTTGTTGTTATTGTTCTGTATTGTCGATTTGGATCTGACTCACTATGGGAGGAAGTTGCTCCTCCTTCTCCATTGGAGCTTCTGGTGGATTTGTACCAAGCGCCTTTGGGATTGCAGCACAGCGTCTTGCCATTAGGGCACCAGAGATGCCTTGTACTGTTCTCTTTTGTTTATATCTTTTCTTCTTGTTTACTGCATCATGGCCTCAAAATATTTTAAAAAAATATTTCCCCATTTTTGAACATTATAGCCACACTAAAGACAGAAACAATTATAACAAGAGTGGAAACAGTCACACTCTCCTCATTTAGGAGGACAATAAAAGCTTTCCCAGAAAGTTTCCTCAATCTTACATAATTTCACATTCATCTTAACTTCTAAAATCATCTGCAGTGTATGACCGATTGTAGCATTTCTGTAGCTAAGGGAAAATAGTAAATAATTTTTATTAAGTCTTGCCTTTTAGATTTACGAGTTGTGAGAGCAACACTTGACAAAATTGTAACAAAAGAAGACTTGGAGAAGAACATAGAGATAATACTGACAGAGACAGAAACACTGAGACTTTTTGATCTGCCAACAGTCATGGTCTCTGTAGAATCTGAAGAAGCTGAGAAAGTAAAGTATGTATGTTTCAGTTGTCTAAATTATTTTGTAACTTAAATAATAAAAAGAGTTTTATAAACTTGTTTCTGTGAAAGATGTTCTTGGGAATTCATGGAAAATGTTGAGAATGTTCATGACCAATGAAACAGTAAAGTTATGTATTTATGTTTTATTGCATTTTTCAGAGGAAGATGCAATTGCTTTCACATATTCTTAAAATGTAACTGAATTAAAAAGGCAAATAATAAAAGAAGGGAAGCCAATAAGTTTCCATACATTTTAATATTCTTTTGTTCATATGAAAGCATAAACTTAAAAAAATCTGAATTTTCTATATTCAAACTGTTGTTGATTCCCATCAAGTTAAGCATGACTCATCGCAACCCTATGAACAAAAGGCCTGAAGCCTTTCTATAACTATTGTCATTTATCAAAGTTCATAGAGTTTCCAGAGAAGGAGAAATGGGGATAAATAATCAAATTCTATACTTTAGAGATTTTTCTTTCTCTGTACAAATGAATTTTGTTGTTAGTGGCTGTCGAGTCAAGTACAACTCAGTCCTATCAACAATAGGCTTGAACCTTGTCCTATCTTGTGCCATCCCTACCTTCTCTCATGCACTTGAATAGAAATTGTGGTTATGTCCCTCCAAGTCACCTGTGATACCTAGTGACCTTATGTATAGCAGCTCTGAACCCTGCCTTGTCCTGAGCCAGTCTCACTAATTCTAACACACCAACCCCCATTGCCCCAGTCACTGTATCAATCTATCTCATCTGGAGTCTTCCTCTTCTGCACTGTCCCTCCACCCTTCCAAGCATAATGTCCTTCTCCAAGGTCTTGTCTTTCCTGGCCACATGCCCAAAGTATGTGAGACAGAGCCTCAAAATTCTAGCCTCTAAGGCGAAACTTGATTTCTCCAAGACAGACCAGTTTGTTTTCTTGGTGGTCCATGGTATGTTCAGGACTCTTCACTAGCACCAAAATTCAAAGGCATCAGTTTTTCTTCTGTCACCATTAGTCCAGCTCTTTTGATGCTATGTTATCTGAATGCTTGTATTAATCATCTACTTAGAAGCAGATGATTAATATATGTATACAGATTACTTAGTATCAAAATTGTTTGGATATGGTTAATTCCATTAAAAAATAGTCCAATAAGTTATGGGACATTATCCCTTCCCATACTTTGAACACATTATCAGGAGAGACCATTCCCTGGAAAGAGTTATTATGCTTGGAAAAGCAGAGGGTCAGCAAAAGAGAGGAAACCCCTCACTGAGATGGATTGACACAGTGACTGTAACAATGGGCTCAAGCACAGCAGAGACTTATAGGAAGGCCAAGAATTGGGCAGAGTTTCTTTCTGTTGTCCACAGGGTTGCTCAGAGTTAGAGCCAACTTGAAGGAACCTGACAACAACAGCATCCTTTCCCAAGTATAAACTGTCCAACAATTATACTGTAAAATATAAAGCACTATAGAGACTTTGGAGAACAGTCATATTTTATACAGTTAATTCTGGAATAAACTTTTTAATATAAATAAAGCTCATAATAAGAAAAAGGTCCAAGATCTAAATAAATTCCAATCATTGTTGTGGACTTGAAATCAACTCATAGCTGACCTTCCAGATAGATTTCAAGAGGCTGTAAACCACTTGGAAGGAGATAGTCCGTCTTTCTCATGTGGAGCTTTTTATGGTTTTGAACTGATTTTGGGTTAGCAGCACAATTCCCTATAGACTTCACCATGCAAAGAAAGTAAGAAACAATCTGAAATCAGAGAGAGAGAGGTAAAACTGTAATCAGACCTATGGGAGCAAGCTGTAAAGAGTTTGTGCTGGGAGCAAAGGTTAATAATCTGGACATATATCTTGACTCCCTCACAGATTGAAGAAGCTGAAAGAGAGGCTCCTTTATTAAATTAGAGAACTCAAAGGACCTTTAAGTGGTCCTAGGTTAGAAGAGTCTCCAAGCTATTATCAAACACAAATCTGTAGAGGAAAACATACAGTTTAGTTATTAAGGTTTCTTCAGACAGTTTAGTAAAAAGAAACCAAATGAACAAAGAAACAAGGCATTATGAAAGAGAACAAACAAATTATAAAAATTCAAGTCTGGACTCTAAAGACTCTGTATAAAGGTATCAAATTTAGAATATAAAATATGCGTGAAATAGTTAAAGAAATTAAAGTGTTGCAATTAACATTAAGAAACTATTAAAATAATGCACCTGACTTGGAAAAACAAAAACTCTCCAGAAAGTATATGCATATAATAGATATAGATGTTTGTTTATGCATCTCTAGTATTGTAGTCTGTAGGAAGTTGCACTGTTAACCAAAGTCATACCTCTATTGGTGGCTTTGTTCCATCAGGAAAGATGGCCAGTCCCCTCCCCAGCCTCACAAACCCTGTGAAGGGTCAGCTATGAAATTAGTTCCACCTCTATAACAGAGTTTTTATACATATTTGTTAAAGTTCGATAGGAAGCATTAGTTTTAAATGTATATTAGACATAGTTAAATAGATTTAATTTATTAGAATATTGATCTGGCAAGAGTCCAGAATGAAAGGTGCATAGTGGAGTGTACCTGGGGCGGTGGGACCAAAGAAAGAATTTTTCTTTTACTTTTTCAAAGAGAGGAGCAAACTGGGGGTGGGAGAGGGCTGGGCAGGGAGA